CTTTCCCTCTTTTTCTCTCTCTCCCTTGCCCTTTTCCTGTTTCCACTGTTCTTTTCTCCCTCTGTGTGACCAGACTCAGACGCAGTTGGAGCATGCCCGAATACGGGAGCTCGAGCAGAGCCTGCTGTTTGAGAAGGCACAGGCTGAAAAACTCCTCAGAGAATTAGAGGACACCAGGGTAATCGACCCCCACTTGCCCTGCCTGCAGAACAGCGCGCTTGGCCCCTGCGTTGATGCTCATGATGCCTTGCTTTGGGTTCCTTTCTTTTGGGTGTTGTGGGGTTCATTGATTTTTGGCTTGGATTTAAGCTTCCCTGATTCTTTTGTTTGGGTTTTTGTTTGCTCTTTCTCCTGAAAATAGTAGTACAATATAATTTCTAGCTTTTGCTTCTTATGTGGGGACTTGTTTCTCAGATTGAGTTTGCTTCTCTGCCCCATGCCACCATTTGACACATGAGCTCTTCACAATTCATTTCTCAATTAACATGCCCGAATAATATCTGCACCCTGCACAATTCATTCTGCCTCAAGGCTGCCCCAGGCTGTAACAGGAAATAACATTGCAATCAGCATTCCCTTTGTCCCCTCTCCAGTTGTGCAAGCTGCCATCTGAAATGGAAGATACTGGTGAGTGCAGGTGGACCAGCTCTGATCCTTGGCCATGTCTGCAACAGGACAGGCTGCCCAGATGAACAGCGCACCCAATCCTAAAAGCAGCCAGATGTGGAAAGGGCTTTTTCATGCTGGTGTGGTCTGGGAAGCAGCAAACTTGCTACAGTGAGCTTGCTTCTCAGCAATGGATTTTAGAGCTGTGGAAAACGCAAAGATGAGGTTCTCCAAAAGGGCTAAATGGTTTGAATGCCCCTGTGCCCATCTAAAATAAAACCCACACAGCCTCCTGGGCTGATGGTTAGTGGGGGAAAATGGCAATTGAAGTGAAATGGGATTGATTGCTTGTGTTTTAACTTGGTTTCCTTGTTTTTTCTGCTGCCTTCTGATATTTCATCTGGTCAAATCTCTCCTCCTCCATCCATAGCTGCAGCACCCTGAACTCCCTGTGACAAACAGGTAGTTCAGCCCTGTTAGGCTACATTCAGATTGTAAGCCATCAATCCATAGACCTTATGCTCAGTGTTAATCATGGCCAGATTTATTGTCTTGCATCCTCTAGCCTTCTACATTATTTTTTACTTTGCTAATGAACTCTAACCATGTATAAAAAAAACCTTTTCCTTTTTACACCAGGGTAAACAAATTATGATGCAGAAGAGACATCTTAGGCTGAGGATTGCTGAGCAATAAAGGAAATGTGATATGCTTAATGTCGGGTTTGATGCTTGTGATACTCCTGCATGTGCAGTCACATCTCCTCTGTGCATCATCTGGCAAGATGCCCTTTCAGGACATTGTTTTTCATAAAGCACTGTTGCTCTCTAGTGAATTCCAAGGGTTGCTTCCAAGATGTGTGTTTTTCTGTGGAAAACAAGAGTTCATATTAGAAAAAAACAAATTGCAATTGGCACAAAGACATAACTGAGTTATTGGTGATGGTTATCCTGGTGCAAAACTACTCAGGTTGGAGGGTGCTGGGTAGTCTTTTCCTTTGTATCTGAACTTTGACTAATGTACTTTGGATTTACTTCCGCTGGAGCACACTTACTAAAAGGAAGGATGTAGCAATGGGAGGTGGGGACTGACTTTGTCTTCTCTGTCATGTTGCAGTTAACCACGGTGGCAGAGAAGTCCAGGATCTTGCAGCTGGAGGAGGAGCTGAGCCTCAGGCGCAGCGAGGTGGATGAGCTTCGGCAGTGCCTCAGGAGCTCTCACCAAGCAGACACCCCAGAGCATAACCTTGGCTTGCAGTCAGAGGCTCTTCGTCTACGAGATCAACTGCTGTCTGCCAACAAGGAGCATCAGAAGGAGAGCAGCCAGCTAAAGGAGAAGTATGAGAAGACATTAAAGAAGTACCAGCAGGAGATGGAGAAGCTGAAATCTGTCAATGAAAAGTACTCACAGGAAATCATTGACCTAAAGCATAAAGTTCAGCAAGCCACTAATGAGAACATGGGGCTTATGGACAACTGGAAGTCCAAGTTGGACACGTTAGCTTCAGACCACCAGAAGTCTCTGGAGGACCTGAAAGCCACACTGAACACAGGCCCTGACACCCAGCACAAGGAGATCGTGGAACTGAAGGCAGTGGTGGAGAGTATAAAGATGGAGCACCAGCTTGAGTTGGAGAACCTTAAAGCAAAGCATGACATTGAGACAGCTGTTCATATAAAGGAGAAAGAGAGTCTCAAACTGAAGTTGCAGGAGGCTGTGGATGAAGTGGAAAAAAGCAACAGCAACTGGAAAATGCAACTTGAAACAAAAAGCAATCAACACCTTCTTGAGCTCCAAGATGTGAAGGACAAGTGTCGAGATGCCGAGCTGAGGGTGCTTGAACTGGAGAAACTTCATGGTGAATATACAGATCAGACAGAAGCAATAGCTTTCTTAAAAGAGCAAATTTCTTTGGCTGAGAAGAAGATGTTGGACTATGAAACATTACAGAAAACAGAAGCCCAGAGCAAACAGGAGATCCACAGATTGCAGGAAAAAGTGCTTGTCTTAGAGAACAAGCTGCAGTCCATGGAGGCCCTGCATCCTTCTCAGCATGCAAATGTATGACTTCTGGGTCATTTTGTTTGTTTATCATCACCTTTAGTAACCCTTCCTAAGAGTAACCCTCAGCTGCTGCCTTATGCAGTTTTCTGAGGCTTCAATGCCTCAGAGTATCTGAATGTTTTAACTTCCCATAGGTGGTGCTTTTTCTGCACTGCATCTCCATGCTGAAGGTGTCTTCCCACTCTGGAAAGCCAGTACAGTGGCACAATTGGAAAAAATAAGAGTCAAGAGAAGCACAAGTGGGGTGCATCTGGGCTTCGAGGCACATGACTGCTGTGGCAGCAGAATAGGGCTATTGTGGTTGTGAGGGGTGGGCTCTCATCCTGAGCAAGCAGTGTCCTGAACTGAAAAAGCATCATTTCTGCAATACTGCTGTTGTCCTCCATGTAGCAGCCTTAATGTATCATTGAAGCAAGGACCCTTAGGGAGGTAGGTGGAGGACAGGATGAAAGAAGAGCCATTGCCCATACTGAGATAGAGCATTTAGCTTGCTCAGGACGTGGAGCATGGTTTGAGAGCCTTGATTGGGTGGCCAAGCAGATAGGGTTGGGTGGGAGATCTGTGCCAGCAACACAGCAGAGGCCATGGGGCGGTTCTGCAGCACATTGGAGACACAGGGAAATGCTGGCTTTGAGGATTATAGTTGAAGAGCTGCTCACAAGGGTCAGGATGACACCAGTGTGGGGAAGTAAGGGACATGTGGCTCACTTTGCACTAGAGTGAGGGGGGAGATGGCTACTCATGGATCTAGGCTGGACCCCTGGTTTTGTGTTTGGGTTTTGCATGAGAAATGAGCAAAAAAACTCAACTTACAGTTTGTGCCTGTGGGGATGCAGAAAATTAAACTAAGCCAGGAAATATGCACATGTTAAGAATACTCATTTGAAATCTATTGCTGGTGATGTAGTAACTGTTCCACACTGAGGTGACAGTGAAGTGAATGTAATCCCTCTGTTTAATTTGCCAACATGAACAGCCCCAGTGAAGTCTGTTGCACTTCTAGGCAGCAAAGCCAAGCCCATGAATTAGTTTGCTAAGTCAGAGCTTCACGCCAGCAGAAAGACACGCTGAACTGGACAGGAGAGGCAAAAGCCCAAGGAGGAATCTACAGCATTTATGGTGTTTCAAGGGTGGCTCCACCATGTTTCATCTAGTAAAGACAGTTATAAACAATAAGAGCAGCCAGGGCACTAGGAAAAGTGGGTGGTTATTATAACATGTCACATGTTATAGCCGTATTGAACCAGGAATGAATGTTAAAAGCTGGAGGCTTGTTCCAGAGTTCTTTAGATAAATGAGAGGGCTCTGGGGGATATGTCAGATTAGAACCAGGGAGTGTTGAAATAATTACTTCAACTGTGTGTTGATTTAGAATCAGGAAAATGTGGTAAGAAATGCATGGGTGTGTGAGTGTCACAGGGCAAATTCTATTGTTAAATGTCTTTTAATGTAACTGCAGTGTTAACTATGTAAGTATGTCAAATGTGTCTTGTGATGGTCTTTCCTAGACTTTCAAGTGAGAACCACAACTGTACTTCCAAACAGCAGTTAAATAGTTTTTCCATACTAAAAGTACATCAGGAGGCATATTTCCCCTTTGGGTGTACTCCTGCTCTGCTTGAATGTATCGTGCAGCCCACTCAATCTCTTGGGGACTGACCTCAGGGCTTCCAGTGGTGGTGGCCACAGCAACTGCTTCAGCTGGAGCATGTGCTGAGGTCCCACTGAAGGCTGCTGAATGTGAAGAGGCTTCAAGAGCTGAATCGTGGCCTCTGCGATGGAAAGCTTGGCTGTGAGCTCTGCGGGCTCTGGCTTTTCATCGCAGTATAGACAAAAGAGGATGGGGAAAAGGCAGAATCTTCTGTATGGGCCAGCATTTACTTTTTATTGGTTTTATTAATGTATTAATTCTCCAATAATTATTAATATTTCAGTACTGGTTTTACAACTTTAGGCATAGTTAGATTGTTCAGAAGTTGAGGAGCTTGTTGACTGGGTCTCAAGCTGAATGCTAAAGAGCACTTGTTGATTAACTGCAGAAGACTGTGGTAACTGAAGGAGAGCAGCTCTTGCATTGCTTTGCACAAACTCTGAGTGTATGAAAGCAGAGTTTGTGGGGAAAGCCCACAAGCTTTCTGTCTTCCCTCCTGGGTGAATCTCGCTGTTGTGCTCAGCTGTCTGTGGTTCGGGGCACTCTCAAGTGATACCGTTTAGCTTTTCAGTACTACCCAGAGTGACTCCTCAAAAGCCTTTTTCCCCTCTCAGAAAGTTGTAATAGATGGTAACTTGAGTAGTGGATATACTTCTGCTTTGGATGAGGCTTTGCAGTTAACTTTGCTTTGAATCTTTGGGTAAAGAGCTCTTTACATCTCATTTTACTTTTATTTCAGATGATTGAAAGTAATGATATTTCAGAAGAAAAGATAAAGATGAAGCAGACTATGGAAGGTATGAAATTTTATTTCTTTCTATCCTGGAACACTGTTCTAGTGACTCATGTGCCTTCCCTTCCTCTAACCCTCTGCTGTAGGGAAGGCTGTGTGGATGGGGCTTAGGAAGCTGTTTCATCTCTCGGATTTTGCTGCATGGCATTTATTGTCTGGTAAACAGAAAAGTACTGAAAGTTCCTTTCTGTGTTTATTGATGTTTTCTTCCCCCTGCCCCTGTGATTGCTTTCTTAAACCTATCTGATATGGCTTCACAACTGTCATACTTTCTAATGCCTGGATGTGGTGAGATGCAGTGAGAAATACCTGATATCTGTCTCCTGCTGCTCCTCTGCCAATGGAGGGTACCACGGCCATGCCCCTCTCACACCCTGATGCGTATGCTGGATCCTTTCCTGATTTGCACAAAGCTTTTTCCATGCTTCTAATCTTTGTCTTGTCTCTTCCTTCTCCTGCAGACCTCCAAGACAAGCTGAGCAAAAGAGACAAAGAGGTGTCATCACTGGTGTCCCAGACTGAAACTCTAAGGGCCCAAGTAAGTGGTAAGTTTCCCTAACCCAGTGCTGGTGAGAACTAGATGCTTCCCTGCTCATCCTCTGTACTGATATTGAACAAGGGTCTGGGTGCTGAGACGGGCTGGTGTCAACCAGGACACTGCCTGTCTTAATGCAGATTGTTGGTAAAAGTTTGTTCAGCAGTTTCAGTGTCTTTTCAGGAGTTGAACACAAGCACTGCAGAAGATGCTTGTATCTTGTGAAGGGGGAGTTTGGGTTCATTGAATGTCAGAAATGGAAAGAGGCAGAGATAAACGGAGCTGGGTGTGTTGTTTCCAAGATCTCTCCTTAAGTAGGGCCAGAGCTAACCATGTCTGTATTGTCAGGAGTGGTAATTGGGAAAAGGCAAAAAGCAGGAATTCAAGTAAAGGACTGAGACTTTCCCTTCTGCTTCTCATAGCTTTGGAAAACAAATGCAAAACAGCAGAAAAGAAGGCTGATTCAGTGTTAAAAGAAAAGAAACGTCTGGAAGGTGAACTGGAAGCCTTGACCAAGAAAACACACGATGCTTCAGGGCAACTGGTCCTCATTAGCCAAGAGCTACTCAAGAAGGAAAGGTCAGTGTGTAGCTCTGAAAGACAGAGCTGGAGACAGGGTGCCCTGTGTGTGTTTGTGTTCATTCAGGGTGCTGTAATTTACCACCAAAAGAAACCTAGATGTTGAATCATTGAAGTCCATCCCCCAACTTTCCTGTTCTTTAGAGATGCTTATGTGGGAATTTGGTTAAAATTAGGGGCTGTGAATTATCAAAGGGGCTGCCCTTTCACTGCTTGCCAGGAGCTGCAAGACAGCTCAGCACCCATGTAGATGCTGAATGAAGTCATCTACGTGCCAACTAAGCTGGCTGCTGCCCTGCTCTGAAATACAGTGCCTTGGGCAAGTCCCAGTCTCTTTAAAGCTGGCACAGTGGAGAGGACAGGAGATCTAAAGCCTCTGAAGTGTGGGATTTGAGTCGCATTTGCTCACTGCCCTTTCTTTGGATCTGTAGCAAAGGTGGGAGGGAGCACGGCAGGACACCAGTGGTGTGTGAGCTCTGGAAATGTCCTCACCTTTCCATGCTGCTGCTTCCAGGAGCCTGAACGAGCTGAGAGCATTGTTACTGGAGGCGAACCGGCACTCACCTGGGCCAGAACGGGACCTGAGCCGGGAAGTGCACAAAGCTGAGTGGCGGCTGAAGGAGCAGAAGCTCAAAGATGACATCAAGGGTCTGCGAGAGAAACTGGTTGTGCTGGTGAGGACACCAAAACCCCTCCTGGCCTTGGCTTGGGGGCTGGAGGGCTCTGTGCTGCTCCTGGTGGTAGCCCTTCACCCTTACTCCAAGTCTTCATGCTTGCTTTTGTGCTACTGAGCATCTGATGGGACCTTCCTTGACAGCGCCAATGAGATGGGACCTGGCTTAGCAGTGACTCATTAAGCAGTAAAAATGTCCATGTGTCCTTCTCAAGTGTTTTTCTGTTCCATAGGTTTTAGATCCATGGCTAATTAAGGCTAAAATTTGTGGGAGAGTGAAGGTCAGCTACCTCATACTGTGTTTTACACATTGTGTTCTAGGCATAAGCAATGTCCTCCAATTCCCGTGTACTCAGTGTCCTCCAGTGGTTGAAATGTGAATAATTCATTTGAACCCTGCTGGGAACAAATTGGAGCTGCTGCTTATACAGTTGCTTTCAGAGTTGTGCTCTGACCCCATCTACTGTTGAAATTAAAACATGCTTATAGGAGTTACTGCAGATTTCTGCTTTGCTTAGTTTCTGTATTGATTTGGTTTAACCTGCTGCTATTTTCCCTTTGCTCTATAAGGACAAGGAAAAATCCATGTCGGATCAGCGGCGATACTCCCTGATAGACCCCTCATCAGAGTCAGAGGTGATCCGGCTGCAGCACCGGCTGGTCAGCACAGAGGATGTGCTGCGCAACGCGCTGGAGCAGGGCCACCAGATGGAGAAGCTCATGGAAGCAATGAGGCTCTCTTCTGAGAAAACACAGGTAGAGCATCAGCAATCACTTCACAAGTTGCTCAGCCCTCAGCTCTGTCCTGAGCAACCTCCTGGGACTTTGCCCTGTGCTGTGGCGGGGTGGTGCAGTCAGCTGGGACCCTTTCTCTCTGCTAGAAACAGTCTGGCAAGACTGTTCTGTCAGATGTAGCTTAGAATGAAGAAAAGCCTCAGTACTGGGTAATTATGGATCCTGTTGTTCTCTGCAAGAATGGTTGCTAGATGTGGTGTTTTGGGGAAGGCTGCAGCATGAGTAACTGTTCTTTGTTTACAGCAACGTGTGGCTGCATATTCCTGAGGTACAGGCACTTTGTAATATGAAAGTTGAGAGTTTCTGCCATCCCTGTTCTCTGAAGCTTTATGTCCTTGCAGTTCATAAGCAGAAACTTTGGAGAGGACTCTGGGAAAATTTTCCATTTCTCTTGCCAGCTCCTGAAGGCATCTCTGTATCTGATCTGGGTTTGCTGATGGACCATGAATGATCCCATTCCAGTTACTGCCTTCTCTTCCCAACTTCCTCAGGTCTCCCTTTGTTTCTTCTGACAAAAGCAAAACTGCTTCTGTCCTTTGTCTTGCATCCTTCCTTGTGAAATTGAAGGCTGCAAATGACTTGGCTCTCCACATTTGGCTTTTTCCATCTCATGTCTAAGCCCTGTCTGATTCCTCCTGCAAAGTGGCTTGCCCCTTGTGCCAAGTTTTGTGCTTCATGTCCTTTACTGCTCTTCTAGCTGTATCTTCTCTTGTGTCTGCAACCAGGTCATGGTTTTCAGAGTCCAGATGCACTAGTGCTCCTCTTGTGCTTGCTCATTTAAATTCTTAGCTGAAAAATGTCTTTCTCTTGCAGTAATGAGCTACAATTCACGTTCAAACAGACACCTTAGGATAGTACAGAACAAGCCACTAGATACGGAGAATGGGCAGAGAACTTGTTTTCCCTGATGCAGGTGCAGATATCTTGGGGTAGGTAATCGGTGGGGGAGGAGGGGGTAGTGGTGTCAAATCTAGTCCTCCCATGGCAGTGTCTTCTGCAGGGTTTGCAGATACACCAAATGGCTGCTTTCACTACAGTAGTACTTGGAGAGACAGCTGGGACGAGGGTGCATGGTAGACATTGCAGCCCTGAAAGCTCTGCTCAGCTGAGCATCTCTGTGTTGCAGACAAGTCACTATATCCTGCAGTGCAGTGGAGGCAGCTGTCTGCCAGCACCAGACAGGACAGCTGTAGACATGATGACAAGTTAGTGGCAGTCCAAGATGTGCTGTAATCCTGTTAGTATCTCTGGAGTGACTTTAGCTCCTGCTGTAATTGCTATGTGTCAAATGAAAATGCATCATGACAACCTCATCTGCTGGAAGCTGTGGGAGGGGTGGGAAAAGTTTAGTCTCTGCTTTAATGTTCAGTCCCTCGAGGAAAAGAAGTTTTCTGTTTCACATTCCTATCTCCAAAGGTGATGCAGGTGGTAATTATTTCTTCCCCAACTGTAGAAGGTAACCAATCTTCCATAAAATGAGTTGGAGTGGACCTTAGGACCTATTCCTGATATTACTTTGGTACTTCTATGCTCAAATCTTAGAGATGTGCAAGATAGTATTATGCCTCCAACTACAAGCCATGGTACTGAAAGACAGCCGGAGGATTACTGCAGGAGGCGAGGCATCAAACTTCTATTGGTATCAGGGTTTTAAAGTGCCTAGTTACAAGGAAGTCTGGATCAAAGCTTCCCTAGTTTCAATATGATATCTGTTCATCCTTTCTCTTATGAAGGGGAGTTGTTAACTGGGGGCTTTCAGGCTGAGCCTGAGGGCATTGCTCGTTTAAAGAGATCCTAATGCTTTAGTCGATGAGTTGATGGTTCTTCCCCAGAAGCTACATTTCTTCTGTAACACATTCTGCACTACCTTCTGACCTCCCATCTCTTCTCTGTCAGCAGCAGCTGTTGCCCAGGGTTCTGCTTTGGCATCATTCTCCCTTTGTTTGTAAAGCTTTCACTTTGCAGCTCAAGAAGAAAATCTGTAATTACTACAAGCTGCTGCTGCTCTCCCTTAGTCAGCCACCATGCTCTGCAGTCCTTGGTGTGCCTCGCTGGCCTTGCTGTTAGACAAGGAGGTGCAGGAGCTGGGGAAGCATAGTGGCACTGTGTCTTCATCTCATCCTCAAGTACTTGCTGCCTTGCTCTTTCCATGCCGGCAGCAGCAAATATTTGTCCTGTCATAGAGGAAAAGGATCTCTATCTTCTCCATGTCTTGGGAGACATAAGCTTTGCAGGAAGTGACAAGGATTTGGCACTTGGGCCTTTTCTTGGAGAACTGGCAGTGATTGCTCTGGGAGCTTTTTCATTTCAAGTGAATTGCATTATCGTGACCATGTACTGAGACCAAATTTTAAACCTGATTCTTGGTATCTGATAGCTGCTTAGTGTACAGATTGTGCTGCAGCCAGGGTAGGCTCTGTTGCCTGAATCTCCTGTGGGAGTGGGTGCAGACCCCAGGGCTGAGTCACTACAGCAGCACTGTTCTTGACATCCATCCGGGTAGGATTCATTGCCTGGCAACCAGTGTCAGTTCAGGCTTTCAAAGCAGAGCTCAGTTTGAATCTCGGCCTGCCTTTCCTGCCCAAACTAAACCTCTGTCCCATAGGATTGATTATTGCATCTTTGAGGTTACAGTAAGACTTAGAAGCTGTGTAGCTGGGCCTCATCTAATGATGGGTTTTAAACTTGTGGTCTTGTCTCCCCATAATATCTGATTTTGCTGCCATCAGCAATTCACCAGTAACTGTGAATCTGATTTCCAAGACCCAAGCAACTGACATCTGCCATTCTGTGACTTCAGGCTGCAGCTTTCTTCTCTTGTTTGTGCTGGCTGTACTGTCATTTTGAAGCTGAAGGGCTCCCTATTATCCCTCCTAAAGAAACATTATAAATGTTTAAAAGTTCTTGAGCTTTCTAAAGATAGAACAGCCTGTCCTAGCTGCAAGACTTGTCCCCAGACATGGGAAGCAGGGAATGGCAAATGTCCTTTTCAGTGCTGGGATGTTCACTGTGCTGTGTTTTGCAGCTAACACTGCCCTTGGCTGAGGGTTTGCTTATTGGGATTTAAGAGTCAGAAGTGAAGAGTGGGCCTGTCTCTGTGAGGAAATTGGGGGGGGATATTTTATAGTTGGGAAGGGTGGAATCCAGCATGTGGGGATTGGGCCAGGGTGCAGAGGGCAGGAAGCTTCTTGCCAGAAGCGGGGTGGGATTTTTGCCTTCTCCTTTCCTTATGTGGAGTGGGCTGCTAAGGAAGGAGATAGCAGTCTTGACAGATTTCGGAGCTTGTAGGCAAAACCACTAGGCTCTGTGTCCTCCAGTAAGTATTGTCCATTCTCTGTTGCAGACTGGAAATTCTGGGTCTGCTAATGGGATTCACCAGCAGGATAAAGCCCACAAACAAGAAGTAAGTTATAAGCAGAATGTCATTTAAAATAGTGACTGCTTTGTGTGATTTCTTGCCTGCTGTGCTGGGGACAGCTCTTGGATGGAGACTGTTCTGCCAGCAAAGTTTGGCTATGTCATTCCCACATCAAAAGCCAGTTCCCAAGTATGTGATGGGAACATCACCTTACTATTAAAACCCCTTGAAGCCATCAGGAAGGTGCTATGGGAAGGGAGTTTCCTCTTGGTCTCCTGGGTTACTACCTGTACGGCTCTTCTGGCAACCTCAGCTAGAACCTGCTTGGTCTTAGATCTCAGCCATCCTCTTTACATGGATGGCATTTGTGGGACATGCTGTTATGTCCTGCCACAATTTTCATGATGTAGGATAAGACCTGTAGCCTCAAACTTCATCTCCACACAGGTAAGATGGCCAGCCTGAGGAAGAGGAGGTGTGACTTACTGAGCAGAGGCATGGCAGGCCTGGTGGCATTCCACTCCATGCCTCAGTTTCCTCTTCTGTAGAAATACCTCTGTGCTTTCCCTCATTTTGACTGACACGGTCTCTTTTCTTCCAGGAGAAGCTCTGATAGAGGTGAAGAGGATCATTTCATCCCAGTATCAGCTCCTGTGCACTATCAGGAAAAACGATACCACATTTGGCTTTAGCACCTCCAAAAGACCAGACACAGTATTTTCACTTCAAAGCAAGACAATGTTTATAATATCCTAACTGATGTAATCAGGACAATCCTGGAGTTCAATTTTACAAGACAGCCATTGTTCCAGGAGGGAGCAGAGAGGTCTCTCTAGGTTTGGTTTCTTACTTGTATTGGTTTTGACTGTGGAATTTGTTATTGCCCTTGTCCCACCAGCTGACCTGGTCTGGATGATGGCTGCCCCAAATGGTGGCTGAAGTGTCAGCAAGTCCCAGTATCCCACAGGAGCTCCAAAGGGATTTGCTTGTGGTGTTTGATGCTTCTCACGTGGTCTGTCCCTTCCCTTCCACACATCCTGCTGTCTTGAAGACCTGCACAAGCAAGTGAAACCTGCTGGGCTGACTGTTCATGTTGGCACGTGTAGGATGAGCAAGACAGGGTGTGGGGACGTGTTTCCCTCCACCTTGGAGAAGACATTGATGTTCTGCAGGCTGCACTTAGTACTTGTATCATAGCATGTCCTGGGAAATAATCTAATTTCAGAGGGATATTTGTTTTGTTTCTCACCCAGTGCTGTTTGGGGACAGGCCACCTGAGCTGTGGTTGGCCTTTCTTCCTGCAGAGATCTCTGAGCAGGTCTGCCTATGCCATGCCCCACAGCCAGGCTGCGCAGCCTGATCCCCACCACTCATGTGTTTTATTGTGTCTTTTTGGAGCACAAGACTCCACAGATGCATCGGAGCATCACTGGCCTGAGAGCTGGCTGCAGTCAGTGTGGGACAGATGCCCTGAAGAGATGATTCCCTCCTTGCCTGTTTAATTCAACAGCTAATCAGGGATCGCCTGGCTATTCTGCAGAGCTATCCTTGGCTCTGCAGTATGATGCCCATCCCCTCCTGCGAGGAATGGAGGATGCTGAGGTGCTGCTCTGAGCATTCATGCAGCAGCAGCTGTCTGTATTTGATGGGTACACCATTCCTCTGTGCATGACCTGAGTATGAGTATTTGGAGCAGAAGGAATCTGAGATGAGCTCACACAGCTCTTGTCTGTACACAGCAGTGCAGACCCAGGCAAGGATCTTGTTCCTTCTTCTGAAGGCTTTACCCTTTTCTAACTTTGCACCACAGCTCCCAAGAGACATTAGGGTGGAGGAAAGGGACAATATGCTCTTAAAGATATGAGAATCCAGTTCAGATTCACTGCTCAGTAGCACAGGGAAGAGTCACAGCAATATTTTACCAAGCTTCGCCTAGTTAGTGTCTGACTCCTCCAGTTTACAGAAGCTCTTGTGTTATGATGGGGTATCTGTGAAACGGGACAAGACAGAAGAGAGCACTGAGAGAGGAGATCTGAGCCAGACCACAGGCAGATGAACATCACATCACGTCAGCTTCTTTGCTTTTTGCCTTGATTTCCTATAAAGCTGTGTTACTTTTTGTCGTCATGGGTAGTTCTGCCACAAGGAGGATGTTGCTGAATCTGGACTATAAGACAACACTGGACCCTGCTCACTTGATGCAGGATTGGTGATCTCCGTCCATTCAGAGGGAGGATGAGAGAGGAAGGTGACTTCAGGGGTGTAAAGCAGGACGGAAAGTGCAGCTTAAAGCTTGTGCATGGCAAGAGAAGGCAGAGCCTCAGATCTAGTTGGGAATAACTTAAGTGGGATCCCATCCTGCCTTGTAGAACTGTTTCATCAGTTCTTACTAATCGCCAGGAAGATTACCACATCTCTGCCTGGCTCTGAGACTTTCCTTAGGGATCACAGGTGTTATCTCCAAAATCTTCCTGGTCGGTGTACTCATCTCCTGAGCAATTCAAGAAAATCCCAGAGGGAGTGTTTGTTTTTGCAGCCTCTGACAGTGAATACTTCTCTGGGAGCTGCTGGCTGTAAGAATTTTGGGCTGGTGTTTTCCAAAGTGCTGCTTTGGGTGGTCTCTGATGTCTGCAGCTCTATCTGGATTGAGTGGAGGTAAAGGAGTGCTGCCCATCTCCAAGCCCAGGGCTTCCCAGGCACCTGCCAGTGGGCAAGCCCATTCTGGTTGGGCACTTAATTTCCCTGACAGGTCTTTTAGTGATTTGTGACCAGTTACCTTCATCTACAGAGGGAAGATACCTGTATTTTCCACCTCCCTTGATGAATCTTTGGCTCTGCACAGGGCAGGATCCCCTGTGAGGGCTTATGGGGACCATGTATTTAATACCATTAATCAGATCTGAAGTTGTCAGGGTAACTGATTCAAGCTGGAGGAGTCTCTGGCTCCTGTCTCCTCCCAGGGACCATGCCCTGTGAGTGGCTCAGACCTGTGTTTTTTCCCAGTCAGTTCAGATGACAATGCAGACCAGCAGCAGACGGGTCAGGTTAGGTTTGAAGATGGTGCTGATGGTCTTCTCTGGCTGTAAATAGCTGTGATGGTCCCTAAGGATTAGTCAGGAGCCAAGCACTTCTTGCTTACTGCAGAGGCTGTGTGTGAGCTTTGTTGCAGGGCCATACCAAAATGGGCAGTGAGGCAAAGCCAGGTCCCCTGTATCCCTCTGGGGAGCTGCTCCCCAAACAGGACTGACTGCAGCATTAGCAGGACATGCTATCACACCTCATCTGGGCTTTAACTCAACCCTGTATAAAGTGGCCAGATTTGAACATCATCCGTGTTCTCCTTCTCCAGAATTGGCACAGGCTTCCCAAGGGCACCTGCCTCTGGCTGCCCTTCTGAGGTTGTAAGAGACCAAACTAGGGACAAACTTGGAAAGGACAAGGAGGAGATTCCCCAGCCCCTCTATTTATTTGTAAGTTTAAGTGCTATTTTTGCCTATGTGGTGGTGTATAAAGTACTTCACAGTATTTGGTCTTACTGGCTTGGTTCTTCAGGGGAGAATTTTCAAGGGTGTTGGAGTACTGATGCACCCATCTCCTGTTGTTGGTCAGGGGCTGGTTCCTGTTTGTGCCTTCACTCCCCTTTGGCTTCAGCCTTGCTCTTATCTTGACCCCCAAGAGCTGGTACAGGGCACTGGGGGGTGGTTGTGTTCTCCCCAGCCCCTCTCCCAGCCTGTGCGTGCCATGCTGGTGCTGCGTCTGGAGCTGAGTCCTGACGTAATGCCCCAGAGCACCAGCACAGGGTGGGGAGGAGGAGGCAGTGCATCTTTGGAGCCATCAGCACCAAGGGACCGGCTGGCACCTGCTGGGACACCAGCCCTCATCCGGCTGCATTACCCAACAGTTAGTGATGCTTTTCTGCTGAAAGCCAAGATGTTATCCAGTGAACAAAGTCTTTGCCATGGAGACTGCTCCATCTTTAGTGATTTCTTCTCTAACCCTCTAGACCAAAGGGAAAAGATTAAGTCAGCTTTATCCCTCCTACAGCAGCCAGTGAGCTGGAGCAGGGGCAGCACCATGCCACTGCCGAACGATGGGTGCGAAGTTACCAGCCAAAGTTCTGCAGCTCTTGCCTACCCCCAGCCACCGGCCCTTCCTCTGGCTTGCACTAGAGATGCATGAGGGTTTCATTCAAACAAAATGATGCAAATGACACTGTAAAAGTCTTAACAAAATTTCCAGTACTCCGTTGTTTGGCAGCTTTAGCAGCTCAGCACTATCTTGTAGGGAATTATTAATACACTAAGATCCTATAGGCCTCATGTAAGTTACCATAATAAAGATGATACTAGATGTATAAATGGATGATAACCTTTTACCCATACAGTATGTATTACAATTTTGTAGCTTAGTCATTTTTTGGCTATCAGATTTTGTTAGTATGATATAAAACCAAAAGACAAAAAAAAAAAGGTTTGACTGCTAATGTCTATTTTGTAATTTGATTCACTTTATTTCTTCCTCTGTACAAAAGCTGTACAAATCTCAGTCTGTGTAACTAACCCACATGTGTATTCATGTACCACCCCCTGTCCTGGCTTGCTGGTGTGGTGAGCTTGTTACTAAACAATAAACTCTGTGGCTGCAGTCGGGCACCCCGGGGCTGCTGGGGTGTGTTCAGGGTGTTGTGCAGTGCCCAAGCCATGCGGAGAGGGTAAGGGGGAGCTTTGGCAGGTGCCCCTTGTCCTCAGCCCCAGCAGTGAGCTGGAGCCAGCTGAGAGCTGGGTTTGGAAACAGCTAAACGCCAGCTCCCAAGGGGTGGTTCTCCTGGCCTGCTGCAGTTGGGTATCTCCTGAGCCATGGAGTGACAGTGCTATTTACTAATCTGTGGTTGTTTCTCCTCTGTTCCTCTCTGCCACCCTGTG